TTGGGTAGTGATCTTAGATCTTTCACCTATTGTAGTATCTAGGTGGATCCTCCATTATTTCTTCTTCTTGAGTATTAACGCTGTCGTCGTCTTCGTGAAATGATTCCATCCCTGTATCTAGGATCGGTTGTGGGAGCTCAATCGTTCAGACGTGTGCTGCGATCTCTAAGAGAGTGCTGTGCATCAGGCTATCTATTAGATCTTTAACTTTCCTATCAAAGATTGAGCTTTTATTAAAAATAACGTCTCTCGTGCTAATAACTTTGGCCATAGATAGGATCTAAATCTAATAGATATTAGATGATTAGTACCTAACAAGGTAGCCAATCTAAGCTTTAGGATCAAGCCTTTGGAGCCTTAATTTGCCTCTATAGGTGTCGTTAGTTATTGCGAAAGCTTTGCACCTATAGGCTTTGAGATAGGCTAGGTTTAGTTTCTTATGTAATTAACGTAGCTGCTCTACTAGCTACTCTACTAGTTGCTCTATTTAATTAGGATACGCTTGTGAAGAATACTTCGTATAGCGTTTTTCACTAATTGCTATAATTTAGCGTTCGATTGTATAGGTGTATAGCTGCTTAAGTGATTTTTAGCTATAGTTCCTATAGGAGATTGGCGTCTAGTCTTATTGCACGAGCTTTCTCTTTATTCATACCCTCTAAGCGTTTAGCTCTACTATTTTAGGCTTAAGTGTCTAGTGCTAAAGGCTTAATAGTAATGCTGTTTGATCTAAGCTAACGCTTAACTTCTAGCTTAACTATAGTAATCTTATTATTAGTTTTAATTACCTTTAGGGTAATATTGTATTAATTCTAGAGAAACTTGATGTAGTTTAAGAGGACTTAGATAATTAATTTGGCTGTGCAGTGATCTGTGAGGTAGAAATCCTACTAATACCTTAAATAATCGTTTATAATCAATAACTATAATAACTCCTTATTATAGGATTATTTCTTATAGCTATAGAAATTAATTAATAGCCTTTTTCCTAGTCCTTAATTGTTAATTCATAGAGCACGACTAATCTATTGCTAGATTTTCGCTCGTCCACACGCGTCGCACTACACTGTTGTTATCCCCTTAACTCGCACCCCCTAAGATTGCTGGACTAGGTGCTCAATCGCTGCTGGCCCTAGGTGTCCCAGTCTCTTGTGCCAGAGGAGAGCAGGCGCCTATTAGGCTCGCCAGTGCTGTTAGGTCGTGCGTGAGTGGGCGTGTAGAGCTACTCTGTCCATTAATCCAGTCAGCTAAAACTCAAGTACCCACTAACTATACATCTCTACCAGCTCGCAGATAGTTAATCCATCTAATCGCTTAATCGCTGTGGGATCTAATTAGTTATCCTACTAAATTCCTTGCCTTCTTAGTACTCTAAACAAGACAATATTGTATAGGATATCTAGGTAGAGAGTAGTGTTGTAGAGCATAAGTCTTTCTACTTAATCTTTATGTGTAAGGCTTAGGATCACTAATCTATATCCTTTAATCTAGATCTAACTATTTCCTACCTATATAAAGTCTCTATTAAGGGGTAGATAGTAATTAAATATTTAGCTTAGATTATTAGTAATATAGTAGGTAGATCCTAAGTCAAAGATAAAGGAGTTACGTAGTAGATACTCCATTCAATCTAACACGGATACGGCCGCGAATATAGCCTCGATCGTAGCTATCTGTTACACGGGGTGGATTGCTGATACTTCTCTAATCTCGTTCCGGGTTAGGGCGAGCGAGCCTTTACGGGATCAGCTCCGTGGGATTTTGCCGTATGTTCTTGGTGGAAAAGAGTTATAGGAGTTAACCAAAGGTTAATTAACAAATCCAATCTATATTGCTATAGATTAACAAGTAACAATCTTGTTAAGTAAAGATACTAGTAAGACAGTACAATTTGAGTTGACCACAACGAGAGTAAATAATGAAATCCATCCATCCTTATATCCTCATTGCTTCCAGTCTTGCCATCCTGTCCATCCCATCTTGGCGGGATGGTTGGGATGGCACCGCCATCCCATCGTGTGCTGCCATCCCGGATGGCCAGCCTTGGCGGGATGGCACATCACGTGACCGAGCCCCGCGATGCCCTTCGTTTCCGGTTAGGATCCCAAGTGGTTCCTCAACCAACATACTGTCATCACCAGGGAGGAGATCCTTCCCGTTGTTACTTGTAACACTATCTATCTCCCGTCTAGTCAGTCTTCTTAAATCTCTAGAGTAGGTGTATAGGATTGCTTAGTTCTTAGAGTCTAAGTCCTTAGCCAACTTTAGGCTCTTAGGAGGCTCTAGAACTCTAGATCGTGATCTCTTTAGAGCTTCACGGTTTTAGCTGTCCGTAGGTTAGGTATCCACCACTCTAGAGCCTTCTCTAGATAGACATAGAAGCAGTCACGAAGATCGTGTCTTATGTCACACGCTAGGCAAAAGCTAGTATTGTTTTAATACGCGCTCGCGCTTCTTAGTAGATTAGTAGGTAATTTAGCTGTTTAATAGGCGTGCAGGATCCCGCTTTTGCCTCTTCTCCTTTAGAGGTATAGGCCTAAAGCCTAATAATTTACCTAATTAGCTTAATTGTACTCCTTACTAGCTATACGTTAATCTTAAGGTCTACCTTGTTTTTGTAATTTAGTATGTGAGTTCCCTATTTCCACAAATTGGGCGTCCCTATCTCCGCGCTGGTTAGCTTTCCCGTTCGTAGCAAGATATACAGATGGATCAGCAGCTACAAACGCTCCTTTACAGTTTCTTTGCGTGGTAGGGTGATTTAGCATCATGTACTCCCAGAAACGTCTTATTATATCCATTTAAGCGTACCTATTTGGCTTTTGCTTATTTAATTAATTATTTAGTTAATCAGTCCCTGTGGGATCTAGACCTTGTAATTGGAAAGTTGCTACCTAGATAGGCGCGATCTTATTCACTGCAGCTAGAAAGTCTATAGCTACTGCTCGAAACTAAGTAATGTTAGGCACTTTAAGTGTCTCTGCTTTAGTAATTGCCTAGTTGTATTTAGCAAGCTAGGTATCCTAGTTGCCTACTAATTTTAGTAGCTTAAGAGCGTTGTAGTATCACTAACGCGCTCGTTCACGTTTAATCGCGTCAGTGACGCCGACATAGGCTTTTAGCTTCTTAATCTAGTTGCAGATTAGCTTATCTAGTAGGCAGCATATGCGCTATAAGTGTAGAGCAATAGTTAATTAGATGAGCAACACAATCTGCTAAAGGTTTAACGTTTTAGTTTTATACTTAACGTATTTAGCTTTATACTACTCTAAGCTAAGCTTATAAAATTTAAGATCCTTCTTATAGGCGCGCTATCCTGTTGTAGATAGATTAGATAGTCTTGCTAGGGCAGTGCCTAGAGCTAAGCTAGTTAATAGCGCGTAGTTGCTTATGTCTAGGAGATCTAGCGACTTTAGAGCAGTTAGCAGTTTAGTTATTGCATTAGGGTTTACTTAATCCTATATGTAATAGGCTACGCAGCGCGCTTTTAGCTAGCTATACTAAGCGCTATAGTTGTGCTTGTCGCGCAGGATTACTGCGTTAATTTGCTAATTTAGTAACGCGTTCATATTTAATTAATAGGATGGTGCAGATCGCTTGGATTAAGAGGGGATAAGACTCTTAATTGTTAGATTGTGATAGGTTAGTGTTACGAACCTGGAAGGAGAGAGCACGGCGGTTAAGTCAAGAACGTTGACAGCCAGTCAACCCAGCCATATGTAGAGCGGGGCACGTATCACGTGACCTCCTCGGGAACGTATGCAAGAGGAAGGGTCTTGGCAGACTCCTCGTACATAAGCCACCGAGGAATGCTCCTCGTGCGTCAGCCACCGAGGAATCCTCAGACTCCTCTAACCGAGGGTTACGAGCATCACAAGTATATAGGAATAGGCATTTAGCCCTTATAGCTCGATGTGTTCAACTTAAGTTACGAGTTGCAAGATACATTCGACGCACAGCAATATATCTTGTATAGACCCTTTGTCCAATATAGCACCCTGTCTCTCTATCTGCGAAAACCAACCCTAGAGTCTTGACACCAGAAGTCTTATATTACTTCCACTCAAGATCCACTCTTAACAGTTAGATTAAAGACTATAATAAAACACTGTGATTATAATAGATTAGATGTAGATTAATTAATTGTCCTACTGTCTATAGATTAGATGGTTAGAGCCCCTTTAGACCAGTCGTTGGCCCGTGCTCCCTAACTAATCACAGAATCCAGGTGTGATTGAGCACCTGGAATCTGTCACCTACCTAAATATTGCACGTGATCTGACACATGTATCTATACAAGACGACATGCTCCAGCAAAGACGAGAACTCACCCATCTGATATGCTTGTCCCAACGACTGCTGCTAGCAGTACAATACGCTCCTTCACCATGTAGGCTTCACTTGTGATTTTCTTTTTGGAAGCGGATACAACTTGGGTATCACTTAGCACTGATGATACGTCGACCAATGTTAACAAGCTCCTATGACCTATCGGGTTCACAAATGATGGAATTACCTTATAGAACAAATAAACAGAACAAAATAATTAACTATGGAGCTAAAGTATGCAACTTTGGACCCCATGCCAATAGAGAACTCAATTAGCCGATGACAGAATCGCGAAACGCTCATGGTTGGTTCAGAAGACGACGTTTCTGGGAGAAACCCTGCGTATACCGTATTCCTTGACATAAGCCGCACCGAAGATCCCAGCTCAATCAGCCACTAGTAAAAACGCAAGCCTGCACATGTACAGAACTTAATTGAAGGCAAGGACATAGCAGGGTATCTTATACATATCTAATTATGACAAACATGACTGAATGAAGCAGTAAGACTCATGGTATTGGCTCGCTAAATAAACGACATAATCTACAGTCACCATTGCTAGTGTAGTCCTTTTCCTTCTATAATGCACCAAAACACCATCAACACCGGAAAAATCAATCGCCAAGATGCCTGCTCCTGGGCTGTCGCTCCTCATAACCCCGACCCATCAGTCATGGCGCTTTTAGCTCGTCCATACCGCCAGGACCACCACAGTCGGGCCCCCAGAAATCACCAACCCTGAAGCCCAACGGAAAAGGGTCCTGTGGATCGACAATAACTTGTCTGTAGCCTGTTATCCAGGCGCGGCCGCGAACCCGCGGCAAGATGGCATCGTATCTGCCCACCTTTGTCGTACCCACGATGCCGCACTGAAATTGTGTCCCAATGATGCTCTTGTGGGTGAAAGCCTCTGCAACGCCAAGTTGACGACGACCGTGCAGTACTGCCATACGCGCCGATGTGCCTGTACCGCAAGGACTGCGATCCAGTCTACCAGGAGAAATCACGACGGTATTCTTCGCCGCCTTGGCTGACAGCCCCGCCTCCTTGTCCACCGCCATTTCGACGAGCGGTTCGGTGAATTGAAGACTGGAAACGCCGCGGATGCCTTCGTTCTCTGGATGCACAGGCTCGTACGATCTCTGGACGGCCTTGAGAATGGCATCTCCCACGCGAATCAGGTCGGCGCCGTGCTCATGCGAAACACGGAGCCCGACGGAATCTGCGGATACAATGGCATAGTGCATGCCGCCCCAAGCAATATCGACGTGAATGTCGCCCAAGCCCGGCACGTAGACGGGGAGATCGAGTTCGTATACAAATGAAGGCACGTTGTCGAGCTCGACGCTCACACATTTGCCTCCGGCGCACCTGGCTCGCACGCGGATGACACCCGCGGCCGTATCCAAGACCACATATGTCTCGGGCTCCTTCATGGGCACTCGCCCTGTCTCCAGCAGCACCGTCGTCACGCAAATCGTATTGCTGCCGCTCATGGTAGCGTACTCGTCGCTCTCGAGCGTCAGGAACCCCGCGTCAGCAGCGGGATCGCACGGCGCAAGCAGAACATTCATACACTGCGAGACGCGGCCTCGCGGCTCTTGCATGAGCAACTGCCGGTAGGAATCGGCGTGTGTTTGGAAGTGCACGAGCTTCTCGTACATGGTGCGGCAGTGCACCGGATCCGGTATGCCGTCTACAATGACATCGCCGATTTCGCCCTCGGCGTGCACACAGACTATCGAGATGGGAGGGTCGGGCTTGCGGACCATGGTTGAGGCGGTGTGAAGAAAGGTGACAGGTGACAAGGTCGAAGGACTTGGGGAGGAGTGGCCAAAGTTAAAGACGAGGTAGGAAATAAAGATGGGTAAGGGTACCGACCGATGAAGCAAAGGATGAAGCAAATGAAGAAGGGAAAAAGAAAAACAGGACCAGGAATATAGCTGACTTTTTAATTCTTGCAATTACTCCCTCTCTTGCCCTGGAATTCCGCTGATCCCGTAATATGATGTTAGCGAAAAGACTCGGTGAGGATTACCTTGTCCCAATCAGTCGGCGCCACATCATACTCAGGTACCAAGCCTGTCCAATTTATATCACCGTAACAGAGTCACAGGCCTCCGCTGGGGCCCTTTACTGCCAGGTCCCAGGATCCAGGAACACAGGACACTAGGACACGTACTGTAACTTTGTCTGAGGGTGCCGCCGCAATGCCGGAGAAGGGCCCTTTGCCACGTTTCCATTTAGTCAAAGAAAAAAAAGGGAGCCCGAGCGTACCGTCAGGTTTCACGATAGTCAGTCAGTCCTAATATCTTTTTTGCTGCCTGACCTCTCATTACGATTAACCGACTAATGAAAAGGGGGCGTGAGTAAAACGGTTTCCCACCCCCCTCCCCCTTCCCCGCCGCCCCTAATATTACAGGTTTGAGTCAGTTTTGCACACTATAAGTCTGACTTGCTATACCGCTCAAAACTAGGTCATTTGTTCCATGCAATCCGCGATCGCAAGGAAGGTTTTGCGCACGCCAAAAAAGTGCTCAAGAAGCGTGATCAACCAAGAGATCGGCCGGCGATCGCATGCTGTGCGAACAGAATATTACTGCCACCGCCCCCCCAGAACCCATTCGTAACGGCGTTTCACGTCTTTCCTAACATGGCAAGTCTTGTACAATTGGCACGCGGACCCTAGCGAACCTTCTTGCCTTCTTCAGACACGTAGGTGCGAAAATCAACGTCACCCTCGACTTGCTGCACCATTCTGTCCACAGCTTCGGCCTGCTTCTTCCACGCGCTTTGGCACATTTTGAGCTCTTTCTGGAAGAGCTCGTCACTGGGCTTCCGGTAGCTTCCGCCCAGGCGGTCCCAGAGCGTGGTGAACTGACCGTAGTTGTAGTTGAAGTACAGGTGGTGCATAGTATGGCAGGCAGCTCCATTGATGATGGCAGAGTTGTGCGCGTACTCGCCGTCGTGGATTAAGACGGTCCAGATGTTGACAGTCACAAACAAGAGGACGTATGCGAATTTGGACAAGGGGAACAGAAAAGGGAAAATGTGGTAGGGAAGACCCTGGGCATAGCCGTCCAATGGGTGGAAGGCGTGCGAGGCGTAGGGCGTGGGCATGATCCACTTGTGGTGAGGCTTGTGGATGTGCTTGTAGACGGCAGGGTGGTGGAGACCGCGGTGGATCCAGTAGATGAGCGAGTCGGTAAACAAGAGGAAGAAGGGAAACTGCATGTAGTTGTACCACAGGCCTGGCCCTTGGTCAACCGTGTCGTACAGCTTGGAGTAGCCGCGGATCTCTGCGAGGAAAAAGGGCACGGTGAAGATGGCCATGATGGGGAAGGCAATGTTGGCCTGCTTCATCTCGAGCTTGATCTGGTTCTTGAGGTAGCGCGGGTGGTTGAAAGTGCTCTTGTCGAAGATGAAAAAGTACGAGGCGCTCGCAAAGACGAAATAGACCAGGACGCCAAAGAGCCTGTGGGTTGGGCTTGTTAGCAGGACGCTTGTGCCACATAGTGTTTGGGGCGGCATACCATGTGATCAGGTACAGCGACAGGGCCTGTCGCCGCCAGTCGTCGCGCGTCCATTGGCTCATGTAGGCATACTTGGACGGCGTCGTAGAGAAGAATTGCGTGGCAGGCTCATATTGCCAGGTCGCGTGCGGGCGAGCAAAGGCCGTGGGCTCCTCGCGCAGGCCCGAGAGGGAGGCATTGGCGGTGGTGCGAGACGGCCATGCGGGGAGCAGAGTGGCGTAGAGCGGGTCGAAGAGGAAAGCATCTGCCACCTCGAGCCCAATGTCCATGGTTGTGGCGCGGCTTCAGGTACCGGATGATGGCGATTCGCCGTGTTTCTGACGGCGTATGCACTGCAGATAGAGTTTCGACGTCGTCGCACAGGATATATGTAGCAAAAAAAAGACTGCAAAAAAGCAAGGTGCAGTGACTCGCAACGGTGAACAAGGGTGCGGGAGCCCTGGGGGGAGGCCGTGGTAATATTAACGCGTCAAGGCAATAAATGAGTGAATGAATGCAATCACTGGCTTTGCGCGTACAGCAGCCAACAAGTGGGCAGCTAGCGTCTACTTTAACTGCCTCTGACAAGTCGTGAGCCGTTTCAACGGCCTGGCACCGCTTGCCAATCAGCATGGCCAAGTCCTTCTTCACGCCCTGCTCACGTGATGTCGCACCCCAATTTCGCGCAGCCGAAATGAAACATCCGTCCAAGCCGGCCATGGGCTGACCAGGGGTAGGCGATCCTCCCCCTTATCAGATCCTCTCACCCTATGCTCGGAGCATGCTCGGGTGGTCGAAGCATGGTAGACACGCCACTGTTGCGCGGAAAAGGAAAACAAAACACCCTCTGCTGTGCCTCATGTGCATGTGCTATTCGCATGTCTTGCTACTCCTAGACACTTTGTCCACCATGACACACTAACACCCGTGCTGTGCGGCACGATTGTAGCACAAGTGCACAATGCATCCTCCCCCTCATATCCCCACTACTTGGCCACAATGCTAACCACGTCCTCGTCAGCGACTACATGTCCCAAGCCCACCTTCTGCGGTACGTGTCGGGCACTTGCCCCCCACACCAACGCGTGCTTGAACGTCTCCTTGAGCGTCCGATGTACCTGGTCACACACGTCCTCAATCGTGCTTCCTTGCCGCACAATCAGCGCTTCCGAAAAGTCCGGGTCGTTGCCCTTCCTCTTGGTGTAGATGCGGATCAGCCTCAGCTCTTCCCAACACCTATCAACCACGTCTTGGATGCCCAGGTCCAGCTCGCAGCTCATGACCACCGTGTTTGGCTCCCGTGCCAGCTCGTCCAGGTGTGGCAGCCCAATGCTGTCAATCTTGTTGTACACATACAGACACTTGATGTACTTGCGGTGGTCCTTCATGATGGTGTCGATGAAGTCGTCAACAGTCGCGTTCTCGTCTCGCACGAGCACCTCGCAATTGAGAATCTTGTAGTCCTTGAGAATGTTGTACACCATCTTCTCGTCAATATACTTTGGTGGGACTTGGAAGTTGATCTTCATGCCACCAGCCTTTTTGGGCTTGAGGTAGATGTTGCTGCAATCTGTTATGAGTCTGACCCCGTATCTTTGCATGTAAACTTACGGTGGCGAACGGTTCAGCCTGATGCCTACAGCCTCCAACTCGGCTTCGAGCAAGCGCCTCTGTTCCGCCTTCTTGGTAGCATCAAGAACCATGCAGATCAAATCACTCGTCTTGGCCGCGCTAATGACCTGTCTTCCGCGACCCTTGCCCTCGGCAGCACCTTCAATAATACCGGGCAAATCCAGGACCTGAATCTCGGCACCACCGTACTCGAGCACACCCGGAATAGCCGTGAGCGTAGTGAAAGCATACGACGCAGCTTCCGACTTGGTTTTTGTGATTCTGGAGAGAAACGTTGATTTGCCCACCGATGGGAACCCAACAAGGGCTATACGTGCATCACCAGATTTCGACACATCGAATCCGCTTCCTCCGCCACTGCCCGCACCTCCTGTAGGCTCCAGCAGTTGTGCACGCAGACGAGCGAGCTTTCTAAAATGCCGTTAGTGTCTCCCCCCAAAGGCCTTCTGTGAATACTATACCCCTTGAGCAGACCAAGATGATATTCTGCGCTTCGGCATTAGCACGTGATATATATCAAATCGTCGTCAAAGTAAATCATGGGGAATGACGGCATCAAGAGAATGCCGTACCTGTAGCCTTGTTTTCTGTTCCCTGTCAGCTTACATCCCCGCTTTGGCAATGCAACCACACTCACTCTGCGTCCTCCGCATCTCCTCCTCAATCCTAGCGGGGCATTAGCGCAAGGCCACATTGAATTTTCAGCATTGTCCCACTCTTTGATCTTCTCCGTAATGTTCACCATCTTGGCAACTTCCCGCGGCTGTCGTGATCTGGTAGAGAAAAACTAGGGGTGAGGGCTATGTGCTGCACTTGGTGGCGGCTGTAGTCCGGCAATGTCGCGATGGGAAAGGTTTGGTGTTGCAGCCCGCCCGCATGCCCACGCCATGGCCGTTCCTGGCCTAGCGCACTTTTCTTTAGCGAATCCAGGATGGAATGCGTCATGTGGGCCAGTATCCGCCACGTTGGATAGCTGACATCGCTTGAATCTAGTTTCTCCTTTTTCCCTTTCTGCTTTCCTGTTTCTTATATTTCTCGCCTTGTATCCCGCTCTGGTTTTTTTTTTCCTTTGAAGATGCTGTCCAGGCCGGCGGATCCGTGGCCACACTCACATCACGAGCTAATCGACCATTACCTTGCGCAACAGGACGAAGCCATCGCGTCAGGATATTATCAGCCTTTTTTGTATCCCTGGGGTGCCGTCAGTCAGCTGCTTGTCATCATCTACCTTCTCATACCGCATCAAAATCGACCATGGCTCAAGAATTGCCGGTACCTGGTATTTGCATTGCTGACGGCTTTTGCCACATATACCATAGTGTACACAAGAGCTAGGGGATTGGTACCAGCAATGGTGATTGGGCTTATTAGTTCATGGACGATAGTATGGACGAGCGCACTTCTCGTATGCAACAATGCCCAAACGGATTTCATGAGGATTGAGAGAACTCAAGGTGTCTTTGGATCCGATGTGCTGAGGGAAAAGATGAAAGACCATGCAGATGCATCTGCCGAGACAAAAGAGACAAATGCGGCAAACAGTATCAGGGAAGATCTCGTTAACGGCTCGTCTGGCCCGCGGGAGCGTCACGGCGAGTTTGCATGGCAACCTTACCCTTTGGCGCCCTTGATCGAACGGCTCGACTGGGTCCTAGACGTCTTCTATAACTTCCGCGGCATGGGATGGAACTGGCGAACTTCTGCGCTTCCCCCACCTCCGAAATCCATCCAGTCTCAACTCCGCCGCAATTCCAGCACTCGGGTCCCTAGGCACTCGTACAAAGCACATTCGGGCCAATTAAAACAGTACGTCTTGCGGGCAGAGCTTCTACGAAGCAACACCTGGACACTAATAAAAGGCTACCTAATGCTGGATGCCCTCAAAACCGTCATGATGTACGATCCGTACTTCTGGGGCTACGTCCACCGACCACCACCATCACACTTTCCGTGGGTACTTACAAACTCGCCTGTTCTGACACACACTTATCGCCTCTTTCTATCCATGCTCGGCATAAAGTATGCGCTGCAGTCAGTTTTCTGTCTGCCGCCCCTCTTCTTCAGCGGCATACTCTCGCCTTCTCTCCTCGGTGCCCGCGCAGAACCCTGGATGTACCCCGAGACTTGGGGCCCATACAGCGTGGTGCTTGACAAGGGGCTGGCGGGCTGGTGGGGAAACTGGTGGCATCAGACCTTTCGCTTTGCGTTCCAAGAGCCCAGCCGCAAGTTGATTGAGTTGCTGGGCTTGCATAAAACTGGTGCGGTCGCCAAGGCGCTGCAGCTATTCATTGCATTCTTTCTCAGCGGCTTCGTGCATGCGATTGGCAGTGTGACTTGTGTGGGCGATACAGATCCTCTACGAGGACCAATGGCGTTTTTCCTCTTGCAGGCTGTGGCCATGTTTGCTGAACAGTGTCTCTCTCAGGCGGCAAGTGCTGCGGGAATAGGCCGGAATCTGCCTTCCTGGCTGATCAAAGGGTGGAAGTTTGTATATGTGCATGTGTGGTTTTACTGGACTGCACATCTTATTTGCAATGACTTTGCAAAGGGCGGCATATGGCTACTTGAGCCTGTCCCTTTCTCGCTGCTTCGTGGATTGGGGCTGGGCGCTGATGAGAAGGACGGATGGTGGAACTGGGGCGGACAGTTCGTACGGTGGCATAGTGGGGATAGGTGGTGGAGGAGCGGTATAGCTATCTGAGTGTTATCATTACTTGTGTCGATTGCATAGCATTGGAGTTTCATGACAAGTCAATAGGAATACGTATGTAATAGTTTCGACATGAATTTCAATGTAAAATCAATCTACGTAGAGTGTACATTACTACATCCTGGATGTATCAAAGTACAGGGTATGGTACCTTCCTACCATGTTCTGTTGTGCACCCTATTGCGTTGTGAAACCCGCCGCGTCAACATATTGAAAACACTCACAAAACAAGTAATAGTGTCTACAAGTGGCATTGCTTAAAGCGAGGGCTGGCCGTTCTGGAGGCTATATTCACGATCAACACCTGTACGGAGTATCTGAAAACATGACTCTAATGTGTGAAGAAAAGGCCCAATACATTTCTGTAGCCCCTGTTTTTTGCATTCACGTTCTCTTTCTACAAGCGAGTGCAAGTGATTACCAACAGGAGAAGTAGGGTACAGAAGACGTATGAATACACACTTGTTGAGAAAGCAATTGACACGCAAGAAATCATATACACTACCTCGTCTTCCCTAAACCCCCCAGTCTCAAACAACAAACAAAGATACCAATCAGCACCCTCCCCCAATGACATCACCACACACCCAGGACCCCAAAAAAAAGACACTTTTGCACCTGTGCCTGCCTGCCTGCCTGCTCATAGCAACCGGCATGCATTCCCGCATCCTGACCCCTACTTAGCCTTTTACCCCCACGAACCCATGGCCAAGCCCAAGACTCCATGTCGACCTCACCCCCATTTCCCAGATGAAGCTAGAAAAGCGAGCAAAACAAAACAAAACAAAGCAACCCCCCCCCCCTTCCCCCCCAAAAAACAATCGGCACAACGCCCCGTAAGCCAGGCGAAGCAACAAGCAAGAAATATGTTCCAAGTGAAGAAGAAACTAGAATGAAAAGGAAAAATAAAAAGGGGAAAATCCTATGCGCCAATGACCAAGACCACGTCCGAAGAAGCCGGCAAGATACAAAGGAAGTGAAAGAGACGGCGATCCGAACAAAAAAAGAGAGAGAGACCCTATTCCTTTCCCACTTTTGTTTTTTATTTCTCCCCCTCCTTGGTCTCTCTCTCTCTCTCTCTCTCTCACTCACTCACTCACTCAGCCTAGTACGTACACACCCCGGCCTCTCGATTCAATGCGTTACAACCAAGGACCCTAGCCCGTACGCGTTGTCTCGAGTCGTTCAAGCCAGGCACATGGGACGCACGATTCATCGCGTGGTTTGGGCGTCGGCGAGGACCCAAGGCGTATGTAGGGGAACCCAGGCGCCTGGATCCCACCGACCAAGCAACCGACCGACCGATGGAAGAAGCATGGAAAACAAGGAAAGCACCGAAGCGAGGAAGCGAGGGGAGACGAGAGAGCAAGGGGGATGGTAAAAAAAAGCCACAGTGACAAGGATGAGATCCGGACTTGTCCGTGGGCCCGGTACAAGGCGAGTCATGGCCATAGTGCCTTGTCTTGTCTTTGTTTGGATTTGATTCCTTGGGACGGAGTGGTTGGGGGGGGGGGAGGGGGAGTCTGTGAGTCTGGGTTACATGGCTGTTGGAATATGCTATTCGCAACTGATGATTGTGTAGTACTTGATGTGGATACTGCCATCTATGTAATTGGTGTGTGTGTATGTAAACGTATGGGGGTTTTTTTTCCTCGGTTTGGTTGCGAAGAATATCGGGCATGGGTAAGTGCGTAGGTTGGTTGGATGGAGCAAGGACGGTGGCAGAAAAAGACGCAAAGAAAAAAGAGCAAGGGTTAGGGGAGGCATGCAGAGGAGAGCGGAGGGTCGGTCGGATATAAGTGTGGGGAGTAGGGGCAAATCAATAATAACATGTACTACAAGTTTAGTTTCGGGCTGGTCCATAGTAGATGTATTGCTGACTGTGGTTTGCTAGTAGGATGACTATAGAGACAGGCATGCACAGGAGGGAAGCGGTAGTGATGGACACAGGATACGACCTGGGAAAGCAACCACACAGACACGGACGGACATGTAGATAATGTTCAAAAGGGTCGTGAACCGGATTGTTAACCCTTACCAATCAGCTATACGTAATATTCTCGCCTATTGTACATGAAACGGATTAAAAAAAAAACATTGGCGTCTCAGGACGGATCTCAATCCCCCAAATACTGAATCTGACAGCACACGCGCACGCGTGGATGTGGAAAGAATAGGGGTACAGAGAGATGTGAAGAAATATCTAAGTCGATAGTAGTAGTAGCGACAGGTCAGCTGCTATGAGCTATGCAAAGCTTGGGGTATCGGAGGTATGTAAAACCAAAAGCACAAACACACGAGCAGAACAATCAAGGAAAATCAAGAGAACGCGAAAGCGAGGAATGCGAAAAAAGTAAAACGGGCAGAGAAAAAAACATGGATGTTCAGGAACCGATAAGCGAGCTGAAGAGAAGAGAAACAAAAAACATTAGGTCTTTTTTGCGTCGCCGCAGATAGTGTAGTGTGGTCTAGCCCGAAAAAAAGGCTTATAGTCGTGATACGCTCTTTGGTAAAGGAAGAATAAAAAAACACAATTGCCCGCCCAGTTAGACATTGCAAAAACTCCTGTTCTCATGCCGCTAAACTCCAAGTCATCGTCTTGTGTTTTATGCCTCTTGGCCTGCTCCTTTTCGTAACTCTATGTGTATGTGTAGTAACTACGAATGCGCTTCGATCGTGGTTGGTTATGAATTTACCTGCAATGCAGGGGCAATGGAATACGGTCGGTGTGGTTCGGTTTGTTGGGATGGATTCATGTTGAGGTCATCGTCTTGTGTTCCTGGCCGCGAGCCGACATCGGGGCCGAGGTGAGGGTCTGGTATTTGTATGTCGAGCTGGGAACAGTCAGTCAGTCAAGCACGTGTCATGGGCAAGCCAGGTGCATGCATACCGTCAGGTAACCGGTTCGCCTCAGAGGAATAATCTTGACGCCTTCCTTGACGCCCACATCCTGGTTCCAGTCGTCGATCCACCTTTCCAGCTGGGCCAGTTTCGCCTTGACACCCGTGAAACCAACATCCTCCCACAGCCACAGCGTGGCAACGCCCATGACGGTGTCGAGACAGGCGCGGAGGGAGAAGGGATCAAAGGCGTCGATGAGGGAGTCGTTGATCTTCTTGATCAGCAGGCGGAAGTCGTCCTCGGTGATGAGGGGGTCGAGGATCTCGGGATACAGGTTGGCAAAGGTCGGGGCCAGGTCGCCCTTGACCATCCAGTCGCGCTTGATGCGGATGATGCGCGTGGTCCTGTACAGCTCCGAGTCGAGAGGCACATGGGGGTTGGGATGGGGAAAGCAGGGGTGCGAGGGACCCCAGGGAAACTCGGAGGCGGCATCATCGTCGGCATCGTCGTCGGCATGGACAGAGCCGTCGGGTCTCGACGTGACCGAGGCGCGTCGCGAGGCGGGCAGCGAGACGCGAGACACGGCGGGTGGCTGGGCGTGGGCGGCTTCGACGTCCTTGTCGTGCTGGGGAGACGAGGCGCTGTCACGGGGCGGGGCAGGCGGAGAGGACATGGCGGGACCGGCGGTGGGTGGGTAGTAGTGGTGGGCGGGGGCGCGGCGCTGAGGGAGGCCGATGCTGGTGCGGTTGTTGCTGGTGTCGGGCGTGGAGCGCTCGACGGCGAGGGAGCTGAGCACGGGGCTCTGGCGGCTGAGACGCTGCTGGGGGAGCGTCAGGAGAGGATACTCGTCGCGGGCGTCGTCGGTAGCGGCGGCGTGGGTATCGACAGGCAGGTTGGGATAGTAGTAGTAGTCGTCGCGCGGCGGCGGTGGTGGTGGTGGCGGGCCTGGAGCTGGGGCGGGGGCTGATGAGGATGGCGGTGGGTTCTGGAGCTGCAGCGTGCGTGGAGACGAGTTGACGGGATTCCACAGGCGGGAGGCGGGCAGGCGCGGCGGGCCCTGGTACAGCGAGCGCAGGTTGAGGCTGAAGATGCGGTTGGTCAGCGACCAGCGGGCGGGCACTGGCGACGGAGGAGCCGGCGGGTGAGCAGCGGAGGGCGAGCGTGGAGTCGTCGTGGTGACTGCGGATGGGGGATTGAGGGCGGCGATGATTTCCTTAGGGGCGACACGTCGGTGTGGTCCATGCTCCCGCGTGCATTCGGCCTGCAGCAGCAGAAGCAGCAGCAGCAACAGCCGGCGACGAGGGCAACGAGCGGCCGCAGCAGACGGGCGGCTATGCACAAGACGGGCGGCGGCGGCGGTGTTGTCGTCGTTGTCGTCGTCCTAGTCGTGGTAAAAGCCGCAGTCGTGTGTGTATGTATGGATGCGGGCAGTGCGAGCAGGCCAAGTAGGGCAGGGCTCAGCAGGGGCACGACACCGGGGTTGCGGCGCACGAGGAACCAAGGCAAAAAAAAGGGCCGGCGACAGAGAGCGGTAGAGAGTGGCGGCGGGAGCGGCTACGAGAAGGGCAGCGAGAGAGATGGAGAGAGAGAGAGAGAGGGAGAGGAAGAAGCGGCGAAAGGGAGAGAGGCAGAGCGCGGGCGAAGGAAAAGGAAGAGAGCGAGAAAGAGAAAGAGAGAGAGGAGCGTGGGCGCAGAGTGTGGCCGGTCTGACTGGGACTATCAGAATCGAGAGGCGTCTCACACGACCGAGCCTAGCAGCAGAAGCAGACAGGGTCAATATAAACTTTGGCAGCACGCATCAAAAGGGCGCTCGGCGAAAAAACAAACAGCGGGCGAGGGAGCGTGGATGTGGATGTGGATGTGGATGGTGGATGTGGATGTATGGGTGCGGGTAATGGATGTGGTGTGTGGTGCCCAAGACAATGAAAATGCATCCACGGGAGGCGGCGGCGGCGTCAACTTGTATAAAAACACGATCAATGGCGCTGCTCGTCCAAGTATCTGGCTCTACCACGGTAGACGGACGTGTTCCCCGGCGCCGCAACTGGCACTGGATCCTGTGCGGCTCGTGTGTTTGAGGCAGCGTGGGACCCCTGGGCCAAGTGACGAGACATGGGTCTGCCATCGACGTCACCATGGGGGCCCTGGACCGCTTGGCTGTTGCTGTTGCTGTTGCTGTTGCTGTTGCTGTTGCTGTTGCTGTTGCTGTTGCCATGCCGTTGACATGTGTGTCTATGTCTATGTGTGTCTATGTCTATGTGTGTCTATGTCTATGTGTGTCTATGTCTATGTGTGTCTATGTCTATGTGTGTCTATGTCTATGTGTGTGTGTGGGCATGGTCAATAAATACACATGTTGTGTCATCATGGCGACATGGCGACAATCATGTCTATGGATATGCATGGCATGGCATGGCAATGGCAATGGCAATGACAATAGGGACGAGGGGGGGGCATTCATGCATGGCAACAATAGCGTTATGCAGGCCCTTTTGTCGTAGTCGGCGAAGACGTGTCGTGTCGTTCTCGACGAGAAAAGCCATGACGGCTGACGAGTTTTTGTCGCCGCCGCCCGCCCCCCTGGCCTTGTTACGGGCTTGATGCAGACTCTCTCTCTCTCTCTCTCGCCCTCTCTCTCTCTCTCTCCCTTTCACCCTGCTCACCTCACGATGCACCGCGTCCCATGTAGCGAAGAGCTATTCTGAGCACAAGGCCTCGCCTCGCCCTGGCCAGACTCGACATGGCCTGCACAGTAAGGAGGAATCAAAAACAACAACAACATGACCCACTACCACACGTTTCCTTTGTTCCGCTTCTGCCCCGTGTCTTGTTCGCCGTCAACTCTACTCGTCCTGGCCTCTCTCTCTGACGCCCTAGCACAAACACTATCCCGCCTTGTATGATTAACCGTCTAGCCGTCCAGGTGCCGGATCGCCCATCGTCCGACACCCATGCTGGCCCTACAAGGTTAATTTTGTTCCTTGTTGCCCTTTCCCTCCTCTCTGACCCTCTTCACGTTCGCCCTGCCATGCTATATCCCCTATCCTTGCTCTGCCCTGTCGTACTACTGACTTGCTGACTTGGTCAGTTGGTCCTGAAGCCACTCGCACAGTGAGGCGAAGCGGCGTGCGGCATGCGGGCACGCGTTCCGGCACCAAACCCACACGCAGCACCCATGAATAATACCACCCAGTCCTTCATTTGTCCACAATCCGGCTCTCGCTCAGTCATACATACATGTACATGACCACAGCCCACCACGCCTTTCCCGTTGCGCAGTCCAAGGAATTCATGTTCGCCCAGCATGCATGCATCCACATGTCCATGCGGCCGTGGGGCCAAGTCACCTACCCATCTATCTAGTACACGACCCCCTCCCCCCATCCCCCCATCCCCCTTTTCCCAATCTGCACCTCCCAATACTCTTTTTCTGCTAGCTCTTGGCTTGCCCCCCCGACTACAAGCTAATGTACGCAACCTGTTTTGTCCATCACATATCACCTGCTTGATTGCGCCACGCCGGAACGGGGAGGTAGTACATATACATAGGTAGCATGTCGCTTTACCTCGACATTCACCATGACCTCGACATGCATATGCACTCCTCAACACCCAGCTGTACGCTAACCTCGATGCCCATGTTTCCCAGCCTAGCACATGCGCACAACGCCACAAACATACTAGCACCACATCCACGCTGCGCTACACGTCTGACATATATACCATGTTACAGCACAGTACATGTACACAAGCTCTTTTTGCTGCAATCTAGTCTACGTTTCACATTCTCGCTTCCACACACACACACACACCCATACATACACGGTCAAACTAACCCCCAAACAGACAAGTCAGGCACTCGTCCCATTTCCTTTCCTGCAATGAAAACAACCCAAAAAAAAAGTGAGGCAGAAAAAAATTAAAGCCAAAAAGTGAAAAAAAAAACGAAAATCAAGAGAAGCAGGCCCGATAGAAGAGAAAGCATATCTTGCAAACGGGGCTGTCCGTATCCGGCTGGCCATTGTCCGTGTCTGTGTGTATGTTTTATTTTACGTAGTACTTATGTAGATGCAAATACTACGTACGTACTTACGTACTTTCTCTCCGTATCCCCTTGCGAGCCTCGGCTCCTCTCGGTCTGTCCTTGGCCTGCAGCAAACACGTGGACTACTAGCTGCTGCATCTGCATGTGCATCCACATGTGCATCTGCATGTGCATCCACATGTGCATCTGCATGTGCATCCATCCCCCTTCTTGGCCCACATGGTTGCGTTTTAGCCTGCTGCAGTATGCGAACACATCCACAACATGCTGCTGACTTACTTACTTACTCACGCCATCCATCACTTCAAAACATGCCATGTCCCATCTACACCCACTACCCCCTCATTTTTATTTTATTTTGGACTTTGCGCCTGGTACATCAACCATGAACAACCATGATGACTTTCTTGCATATTCACATGCCCCTACTTACAACTCCCCTGCCGCCATAACTTTCCACACACACACACGTACATGGAAATAATAAAAGCCCCTTCCACCACCCGCTTCCCCAATAAAATCTTAGCTATCTGAACAAGGCCACACAATGAAAGAAAAAATATTCCTCTTCTTTTCTTTCCTTTTCTTTCCACGGTGAATGAATGCCCATCATCCCCCACATCGATCCATGCTTCCCCGTCCATCCATCCACTCTCGTATAATCCTGCCCATCATCCACCCCGCTTGCACAAGCACAAGTCGCCATACATACACATATACGTACAAACATAAACACTACAACCTCGTCATCATCTCACCAACAATTCGCCCCAAGCTCAAGCTCATCCCCTTTCTTTTTTTCCCTCCTCCTCTTCTTCTTCTTCTTCTTCTTCTTCTTCTTCCTTTTCTACACAATCCACTTACGCGTGCTTGTTGGCATTCGCTTGCATCCGCCTCATGGCCTCACGATGCGCATCCATCATCTGCCCACTGCGCATCATACTGTCCATCTGGCTCGCCCGCTGCTGCTGCACCAGTTCGCGCTGCTGCTTGGCCATTTCCTTTTGTCTTCGCTCTTGCAGCAGTGCCGCACGCTGTTGCTCCACAATATACGTCGTCGATTGCGGTGTCACGTCGCGCATCGAGTCGCGCCATCCTGCATACAGTTGCTCCCGCTTGTGATCCGATTGAGCGCTATTGGTACGCTGGGGCTGATGCGAGTCGAAGCCCGCCGGTGCCCCGCTGCCACCCCAACCCTTGTTCTGCCACTTTTGTGATGCCGAAGGAGGTGCTCTCCTGGGCGATGTCAGAGGTCCCTCGTTCGAGGCGTTGGGTAATGTCGACTGCTGCTGAAGCAATTGACGACGTTGCGCCAGTGTCATGTCTTCCTCGTCCCCATGCTCTGCGAGCAGCGTTGTCGACGAAGAGTGCGGCGACAGCATCAGAGCCGACGCTCGGTTCCTGATGAGCGTCTCCCGCTTGCTCAATAGCGTATTGGTTGGCAAGGGAGCAAGCACATCTCCTTGTGACCTGGAGTTGGCCCGCGATAGAACCGCGGCCGGCGGCGATCGCGTCGAGAAGCGCGGATCAACAAGCGATTCCTGAGACAAGGTTAAGCTGCTTCGCCCGCCACCAATGCTGTTGCGGTGTATCCGGCTGCCGCTCGAAATCCTCTTGGAGCTGCGCCGGCTTTCCATCAGAGGCGCCACCAGCTCCTCGCTGACGGGTGCCGCCTTCTCTTCCACTCCATTCGGGAGCAGCACGCTCGACGATGACGGCAAGAACATGTCCTCGTAGTCGGGCTTTTCGGCGGCTTCAAGGTGCTTTGCCCATTCGTTGGTGCGGTACGACAAGGCAACCTTGGACAGCGTGTCCGGTAACGCACCGTCCCGTAGAACACTGACACGTTGCCCAGCTTGCTCTCCCTGCGAGCCTAGAGAAAGCGCATCCGACCGTGCTGCCTTTGAGTGCCGATCCGCATTACTAGCTTGCGAGCTAGAAACAACCGTGTCTGCTCTCGCCTCCGTGTTCGCTGCATCGGATGACTTGTCGTCCTGCTCTTCCGACGTCGGGCTGGTACTAGCCGTGGGAGACTGAGGGGTAACCGAAGAGCGACTTGTTCGGTCAGAAGCGGGGCCTTGTACATGCTGCTCCTTTGCAACGTCCGCATCTGCTGCAACACCAGCCTCGCCAAAGGGGTCCTTGCGTTCTGTGCCAATGGGTGACTGCACTGGGGAAAGCTCCCGCACAGACAGCATGTCGTCGTCATTATCCAAGGTAGCCGCGACAGAAGAAGCGCCATCGTCGTCAGCATGCTCACTGAGAAGCAGAACCTCTTGAGAGACGCCCATGTCACGTGAGATGCGTTGCCTCATAGCCGACACATCAGAGACTCGTTTCGACACACGAGGGCGCTCATTGACATCGGGCTCCGTCTCAGGAATAGCAGAAACCGAGGCATTGTCGTCGTCGCTCTGGTTGTTTTCTTCTGTTGGTATTGTGAAGGGCAGTGGTACAACAACAGGTGGTGGCGTGCGGCGGCTGTCTTTCCTGATCACAGCGGGCTGCGGTGCTTCGGGCGTCTGGGGGATGGTCTTTTCGTTTTCAGCCTCGGGAACCATGGCGCTGTTGTCGTGCACGATGGGATTGCCTTGTGCGTCGATTTGCTGGATATCGTCATCCTGGAGCACGCTGACAGTGACCACGCCCCCTGCAGCCTTGTTGGCGCCACCATATGAAGCCATTCCCACATTGTCCGTGCTGAGGAGTTCTTTTTCTTCGACGCTAGTGGAGCCTTTGGGACTGACCATGGACGATCGAGGGCTGGAGTCGGACAGGCCTTTTCCGCCGTAAGCTGCTTCCCACTGGGCACGTTCTTTCTGGAGCTCGTCCTCAATCTTGCGGCCTCGCTCCTCCTCTTCGCGGTCCAGGTCCTGCTGTCTCTCAAGTTGCTGAGCAGCATCCTTTGCACGATGCTCTTTGACCATTTTCCACACGCGCAACTGAGAGATGATTCCAGCCACAGCGATGATGACGACTCCAGCTAGTTCGGCTTTCATATTCCGGGTGACTGGATACGTGTTCGTGTCCAACGGGAATATGGAGTCATTGAGATCTGTACGAGTCAGCATCATACATGTGGCTCATGCTAGGTTTGCACATACCCCACAGATAGAGCCAAAACTCCTTCCACCCAGCACCCGCCAAGCAGTCGATTCCAAGAATAGCTGCCGTGGCGCCAGAAAAGGCAATCGACCCAATGAGGGCGTAGCCGCGCGTGTAGCGACTGAAGGAGAGTAGATAGCCTGCAGTAGACATGCAACCGATGAAAATGGCTCGGCCGGCACCCGAAGAGATTAGACCGCCGTCTTTGAGACTGAGAAACCACATGCTCAGGCAGAAACCACCCAGCAGACAGCCAAACCCCTCGGTCATGTCGACAAAGACGAGCGACAGGGCGCCAAAGATGGTGCCCGTGAAGAAGGCCGCCACGAAAAAAGCGCCTTGAATTGCATTGGAGACAGGCGGGTTCATTAAGTAGATGATTAGAACAGTAACAGCAAGTGCCGTCAGATAAGCAGCAGAACCGAAGACGTATACCCTTGGTGGCGTTAGTGGGGTATAGGGCAGTGGTTTCAATGAACTTACATTTTCTGTTTGATGCCTACAATGCCGTATGCCAAGCCAGTGAGTAGTAATATGACGCCAGTGATTCCCATGGCAGGCGTGAGCTTTGGGGGGATGGGAAGTGGGCTGTCATTTTTGGCTGGATTGGACTGTTAGTTTGATATTGAAACATGTTGGCTGATTGCACTCACCAGGCTCGCTCGAGGGGGCCGGCTTAGGCGCAGGCTCTGCTGAAGGGACTGAAGGGACCTCGGTGGGGGTGCTGGCTGGCGCTGAAGACTTGGCGGAGGACGAGGGAACTGCCGATGATAGTTGGGAAGGCGTCGGCGTCGGCGTAGGCGTAGGCGTCACTGTGGGTCGCTGAGAAGAAGAAGCCTCTTGTGCGGTAGAGGCGGGCGCGTCGTCTGCACGAGTGTCGTCTTGACGGCGCACGGCATCATGGGGAGCAGCGCTGGCAGACTGCAAGCAGGCGACAAGAGCCAGACATATTAAGAAATAAGAGTAGGAGAAGCGCATGGCGACTATGGAGAGGGCGAGGCTAGCAGTGGCGGGCTGCTGCCATGGAAAGTTTACAATTAGCGAGTATAGATGCGGATGGGGAAGGAGGGCCCGCCACGAAGAAGCCCAAAGAGGAAGGCAGGCGGACAGGCGGACAGGCAGACAGGCAGACAGGCAGACAAGCAGGCGTGGAAAGGAGCGAATGCGGTGGTCGGTACGGGGGGTGTTTCAAAAAGAGCGGCAGGGAATTAGTATAGCAGGGCCCAGGAGTGAATAAGAAAGAGCGTGGAGGGCAGCCGGGCAGCGCAGAGCAGAGCAGCGAGGCGGCGGGGGAGGGGGAGGGGGAGGGAGCAGAAGAAAGTGCAGCAAACCGGTCGTCGGCCATGGACGGAGGCTTTCGGGCGATTGAAATGGATGGACGACGCAGCATCCATGAGTTGCAGGAAGCGAGGCGCTTGGCTGGCACGGCCGCCTCCCTGCAATCATAGTGACGATGGGCTGGACATGCAATTGGCGGCGCCGGCATTGAGCGTCCATTGTTGACCCGGCCGACGTTGGCAGCTGAGTGGCCCAGATGACGGAGAGGTTCATTTTATTATTGGATAGCCAGCCACCCGTCGTGGCAACGTCGGCGGCCGGCCACTGAGGAGCCTGGCATGCGCCCACAAGGAAGGAAACGCTGTTTCACCCCGTCATCTACCATGGCTGCTGCCCGCGCGCCGCCTTTCTTTTTGGCCCTGGCGTGCCATGTGCGAGAGCGAAGAGACGAGGAAGAAGGAAGAGGAAAAGAAAAGAAAAGAAAAGAAGAGACCAGGACCCCGCCCTCGGTCCGCTCAGCGCGGCCATGGCGAACGCGACATGTGTGTGTGCTTCTTCCAGCCTGTGTGGGCGCATGCAGTGTCGGGTGGTGTGGTGTAGTGCGGTGTAGTGTGGTGTAGGTCGCTGTAAGTCGCGCGCTAGAGCTGCTCCTCCGCCGCGCCGGCACTGCCACTGGCATCCTGGCATCCTGGCGCTGGCGAGGGCCGCATAAGCTGTGGCTCTCGCTGCATAATAAAGCGCATCCACAAAGGCAGAGATGAAAGGGTCCTGCTCACTTCAAACGTGGGGTGTAACGTCTAAGCCTCAGCACCACCGCGCCGGCCGTTGCTCTCGCCGTCGCCGTCGCCAGCAGAGGCTCGTTCAGCCTCTTCTTTGTCTCTCGTCCCGAATGGGAATACTACCAGGGCGCGGGCCCGGGCAGATGCTGCGCGCTGGCACTGGCACTGGCGCTGGCGTCGCGATCTGCCATGAGCCGTGCCCGGCGCGCGACGATCCAGTTCTGCCTTTTCCTTTCCTGCCACTACTGCAAATGCAAATGCCTTTCTCGTCCTCGCAGCGCCCCGCGTCCGTGCGCGCCTGTCACTCCCACTCCCTCTCCCACTCCCTCTCCCTCTGCTCCCCTGTCACGCGTGTCGCCCGCTGCACCAAGCCCATCATAAACCCATCCCCCGCCATCCGACACGGCTGGAGCGTCTGGCTCGACCACCACAAGCCGACCAAACTGCCCGCGCCCTCCCTCTCACGCACGCTCGCTCCCACACCCGTCCGCGCCCACGTCACGTCATGATGCGCTGCCTGCTGATCACCACCCTCGACACGCTACTGCTACCGCTCCTCCACCACGCCTACGCCGCGCCATGCCTAACCGGGAGCCGAAACTTTAGTGGGCCTGTTAAGATTGCCAATACAGGCTGAGGCCTTCCATCTTTGCGCCCCTCCCACCTCCCCATGCTTGCACCGCGCCATCACATTGTCCGCCTGGAGTACGTGTAATAATAGCAAGCCATGGATATACAAAATGCATGTCGCTCGACACGCAAGCACACACGTCGCCGCCAGCACACGCTTGGCCACCCCCCCGCGTCGTGAGGCGCCAAGCTTGGTACCACTACACGTCTGTACCAATTCTCCGCAATACATACACTTTTCCTTGGTAACCTTAGCCTTGATTCATGGTTCCAGCCATCCGATTACCGTTTATCCGGGTGCTTCAACCGCCTCTGCTGCTGCCTGTAGCGGCATGCACTAGCCAAGCCTCACTCGCCCACCAAGCAGCAGCTGTCCACGGCTCCAAACCCTGCAGCTACGCCGCCCTCTTCGCTCTGATCGCCCTTTGTGCGGAGAAGGTACCCAGCCTCCCAGTTCTCAACAATCTCTCCCTTCTGGCCCTCCCCACGGCCCTCCCTCCACAAGCATACGCCGTATACCCCAAGCTCGCAGATGACGCCACCCCTCTGCACCTCTCCGTTCCGAAGAATGGCGTTGGCTAGCGCTGGCGGCTCGATCATCTCCATCAAAATGTACGCTGGCCACTGTGTCTCGGGAAGCTTGGACAAGAATGCCGGGATAGCTTTCCGGTAGACGTTGTTTCCGCCTCCCTCGCGCTGTGGCTTCAGCACATATTTGGTTGCTGTCGAAACGTCGGTCGCGAGCTTGCGTGCTTCTTGGCCTGCCTCGCTCTCGTCCAGCGGGTAAATGGGAGCAAAAGTCTCCAACACACGTGCTGCAACCTTTTCATCGGCCAGGAAGCGCTTGACATGCGGCGAATGCGGTGTTGCAAGCACCTGCTGCACCTTCTTGCAGCCGGCGAGGTGCGTCAAGATGCTAGGGCATTTGATCGCGCGGCTCTTTTCCAGCTGCAGGCGTGCCACCCAGTCGTCATCCTTTGCATAGTCGTCCGGCGAGTACCCCGCCCGGAAGTAGACCGTCGTCACTTCGTACGACATCGCGGGTGCATTTGGCGGCGTGTAGATCAAGGTCCGGTCTGAATCCAGTCTTGTGTGCGACAACGTCTCGCCGAACGGTAAGCGGAATGAGCGAACCCCGTTTTCTTCCAGCAGCGCATACTCGACATGTCTCTGGTCAAACACATTTCTTTCCGGGTCCTGCACGACAAACAAAACACAGAGTGGCCGGCCAGTGCGTGATGATCCATATGCCTTGTGCGCTGCAGCAAGACCCTTTGCCAGTGACGAAGCAGACTTGCTCAGCTGCAGCTTCTCTTCTTTGATGATGGAAGACGTCGATTTCGGGTACGCGTCAATGGCCAGCAGATGCTTGTGCAGCGCCGACACCCGGCTCGACAGTCCGCCAAACGAGGATGCGATTGTGTTGAATTCCACCTGCTTGAGTCCAGATGACGGCCTAGCCTGTGACGAGTCCTGGTGTACCATGTAGTCTGAGCGGAACAGTCCCAGCGAGACATCTTGTACATAGCCCTCCTTCTTGACCTCCAAATGTATGTGCCATAGCTTGGCAACAAAGTCGTCTACACCCACGAGCTCCTCCACTATGCTCTGAAGCCATGGCTCGTCTCTTGCGATTGCCGAGTATAACTCGTTGTAGGCCTTTTGTATGGCAAGCCCCTGCTCGAAACAAGACCGCGGGAAAACACTAGGGAACAAGGTGACCGGTGCTGTGCTTGCGAGAACGCCTGATGGATCCTGCAAAGGCTGCACAAACGACGGCGCCGGACGCACCGCTAGGCCGTGGGCTATGGACCAGTCCTTGACGTTGGACAGCAGATAGTGCTCCTCTTCCGCCGACAGCTTTGGTGGGTACTCGGATTGTGATATCGAAGCCATGGTTTCTTGTCGAGAGTGTGAAGGGGTTTGCTGAAGAAAGACATCTTGAGTGACTTACAAAGCTGTCGGCGCTAAGGCGATGGCCTCATCTGCCCCGCTGCGGCGCCCCCCGAGCCCACTTGCTTACTACATCACGGCCCAGGTGAGAGACGCTTTCCCTCGTTTTGGTAGAATCGCAAGTCCCGGCGCATTTTCGTGAGCAGTTCACGCTCTTTCTGCCCGCATCGCCCGTGCTCGCCGTCGGTACACTTGCCCCTCCTCGCGCAGTCATGTGATGGCGCGCGCCTAAGTAAGTAGCGGGTTACACGCGCGCACTGAGCGTTATCCGCCACATTTCCCTAGCCAAGGCTCCACCACAACCTTCTCCACTTATTGCTACAACTCACACACCCTCACAACATGGCCGACACTGATCCTTGGCGGTGGAGCGTAGACGAGCTCGTCGCCCAAGTCTGCCACTCGCATACGCTATTCAACACTGCAGGCGAGTACACTAATATTCCACCTGGTCCAGCACTCGAGAAGGAGATCAGAGCCCGAAACATGACAGGAAAAGAGTTCCTTACTACCATCGATAGCCGTGCGCTAATACTAAGAAATGAATTCAAAATCCCTCACCTCATCCAGCGACTCGCTCTATGGTCCGTCATAGGAATGCTTCGCGAAAGGCCTTCTATACACAACCAGCATAATCTCACCACAAGCGTGCAACCGCCCGATAACAACATCACAAAAGCGTCACCAGCTCTAGACGTTGATGCATGCCTTCACGACAGATCCAGTCCTCACGACACACCCAACCTCCACGGGGCCGGTCGGAGACGGAAAAAGGTTGAACTTGTCTCCATGGAGCCGTTGCAGCGAGCCCAGGCAGGAGCCGACGCCGACGCCGACGTCGACGTCGACGAATTTAGCCATCTTCTGCGATGGCACGATCCAGACGTCGAGGACAACATAATCGACTTTGCCTGGCAAGATGACCCAGAAGAAGAGCATGCTGCAGAAGACGACCCAGAGCTTTCTGAAGACTCGGAGGAAGAGCCGCCTAGCCGGACAACTCTCACTGTTGATGAGATTGTCGAGATTATCAACGAGCGCATCGCTTTCTATAGCGAGTCGTGGAGACCAAACGCGGGCGTCCCGCGAGGCGAAGAGGTCGTATATGACGTTGATGCTATGTGGGACGAGGCAGAGGCTTCAGGCAAAAGACAACATCTCATACAGCAGCACGAAACAGACTATGCCTACTATAGCAACCGGCTTGACAAGCTGTGCGACGAGATTGTCCAGTCTCCGGGAAGCAACGCAGTAAGTAATACAGCGTATACTTTACCATTGAATTTAATCTAATAGCAACCATGTAGGATAAAGTACGGAAACAATGCCGTAATCTTGAGACCACTATCGAGTTGATGGAGCTAGCTGGATGGTTGCGCGACATCTACAAACTTGAGCCTGTTGAAAGTAGCGAGGCTGAAAGCGAAAGCCATCCTAGTAATGTCACCGCTCACGCTATACCTATGGAGTTTATCGATTTAGAGTCACCACCAGACCCACCAGCATTGCAAGCGGAAAATCCATTGTTTTCACAGAAACAACCTCGTACACAAATTCCAGGCATTCCTTACAGCATTGAGCCCGTGCGCAATCTTCCAACCAGCGGGGATGAGCCTGAAAACGCCTCAGTTCTGTCAGTACGCCGCTGGAAATGGCAGGAGCTCATCGAAAACCTGGACCGTAAGCGCATCGTCTCGAAGACCATTTCTGAAATGGCATCTAGCGATCGCGAATCTATCCGCACTCGTTGTATTCACGTTGGAAAACATAGACTGTCAAGGGAGATCGCTGCGTGCGTCAACATGCTACAAAGAGGAGAATCAAAACTCCAAGGTGTTCTCCATCGAGACATGCCAAAAGTTATTACCTTTGCTAATTTATTTCTGTCATGGTGGCTTTGTAGAGATTATTACAAAGAACCAAATGCTTCTGCGGCAGAGCTTGAAGAGCTGAAGCGCTGTATAGACGACGGATCGGCCGAGATAGCAACCTTCTACGACTATCTTCATACCATTATGAGGACGACATTCAGCGAGCAGGCTCTACAGCATCCTGAGCAGCCATCACAGGCAGAGATTATTGAGATATCGGACGATGAGTGAACAACGCTCAGCTGATTGATTGATATGTCGTAAATTAGGTGTAGCCTTTCCTTCACCTAGTGCGATATGTCATCTTTGAACGTCTAGGCCTCTGCTCAAGGCACGCCTGGAAACTAGCGGGAGCCACAACAATGCCGACATTAGGAACAAGGACCAGCGTACAGCGTACGGCGTATCTCGGCAATTCCGGCTGCCCTCCGGCTGCCCTCCGGCTGCTCTCCGACTCAATGTGCGCTGATAAGAAATTGCAAATGCCAGCAAGCCGATGTACATACGTACGAGCACTCGTAGGTGCAGAGCTGAGGAACACTGCACAATATGAGGTAGGATTGCGGATCCCCAAGAAACAGGCTGCTTCTTACACCTAATCTAGGCTATCATTACCTAGAGCGGAAGCTGGTGGCCGTGGGCCGGTACCAAGGCGGGGTGCGTCAGTCACGTGATCGGCGCGTCATGGGGTCTACGTTCACCGAGGTACAGTAATACAATACCATAAGCTTTTCCTGCCGGCACATATTGACGCACAATCGAACCTTGTCGGCACGGAACTGCTCACCGAAGCATCTGAGAATTATATGCAGGGATTCTGTCAAGACACGTTTTGGTTCCGGTCACGCTCAAACCAATGTTCCTCCAGGGCGCCAGGGCCGTCGTCGTTATTACGTTGATAGTAACGCTTATTAACCTGGCGCCGGCATTCCATCGCAATGGGCCAATCATGACCAGTCTATTTGAAGCGGGTGGCCGGCGCACTTGGCACCACGCTATTAACGCATGTAACTCCTTCCTTCGTGGTTGACACATTTTCAGAACAACTCCCTCTCTCTCTCTTTTCTTTTCCTCCGACCCAACCCAACCATACCAACGCACGCGCCGCCGTCGCACACTCTTGCAGATATCCGATCCCCGTAATTGACAACCATGGAGGCTCTTTTGCGCCAATCCAAGTCCATGTGCCCGTTCCTTCATAAGACGTCTCCCGCCACCCTCCGCTCCCTTTCCACGACCACGGCTGTCGCTGTCCGCCCCGAAGTTTCCCCGAGCGCCGGAAGCATGTCGAACCTCCAAGTCCTCGCTCGTCGCTGCCCCATCATGGGCAAAGCGCTTGCCGTGCAGACTGCTCGCAATGGCAACAATGCGCTGGCTGGCGCTTTTGGCGGTGTACGTGCGTACCACTCTCGTGTGAACCGCGCAAGATTGCACACGACCGCGTCCAAGGAAGCCCAGGCTATCGATATCGAAAACTTGCGCGGCAAGCAGGGTATGGACATGATGCGTAATCAATTGTGTAAATGTCAATCACTAACTCTGGACAGCTCCTGTTCCGTTTCCCCACGCGCCCCTCAAGCCCGTCGCTAGCAAGCCGTCCAACCTCGCTGTTCCCTCTGCGCCCAAAGCCTCCACGTTCGACTACGAGGGCTTTTACCACAATGAACTCGACAAAAAGCACAAGGACAAATCGTACCGATACTTCAACAACATCAACCGTCTGGCCAAGGAATTCCCCCGCGCGCACAAGGAGTCGGCCGAGGACAAGGTGACGGTGTGGTGCTCCAACGACTACCTCGGTATGGGTCGCAACCCTCAGGTGCTCAAGTCTATGCACGAAACCCTCGACACTTACGGAGCAGGCGCTGGAGGTACTAGGAACATCTCTGGCCACAACCAGCACGCTGTGGCGCTCGAGAAGACGATTGCAGATCTCCACTCCAAGGAGGCTGCGCTCGTCTTTTCGTCGTGTTATGTAGCCAACGATGCGACACTGGCGACTCTGGGCAGTAAATTGCCCAACTGTGTCATTCTCTCGGACAGCCTGAACCACGCTTCGATGATCCAGGGCATCCGCCACTCTGGCGCAAAGAAGATGGTGTTTAAGCACAACGATGTCGCAGACCTTGAAGCCAAGCTGCAGTCAATTCCAGCAGAGTACCCCAAGATCATTGCGTTTGAGAGTGTGTACAGCATGTGTGGGTCTATTGGTCCCATTGAAGAAATTTGCGACCTTGCTGAAAAGTACGGCGCAATTACCTTTTTGGACGAAGTCCATGCTGTAGGCATGTACGGACCACACGGCGCTGGCGTGGCGGAGCACCTCGATTTCGAGGCACACAAAGCAGGCCAGCCCAAGGGCACAGTTCAGGATCGTGTGGATATCATCACCGGAACGCTTGGAAAGGCATATGGCTGTGTTGGCGGCTACATTGCCGGCTCTGCCAAGCTGGTTGACACGATTAGGTCGCTTGCGCCAGGCTTCATCTTCACTACATCGCTGCCCCCAGCAACCATGGCCGGCGCAAAGACTGCAATTGAGTACCAAGCCAACTACATGGGTGACAGGCGCCTGCAGCAGCTGCACACTCGTGCCGTCAAGGACGCTTTGAACGAGAAGAACATCCCCGTCATCCCCAACCCCAGCCACATCGTACCGGTGCTCGTTGGCAACGCTGAAATTGCCAGAAAGGCGTCGGACATGCTTCTCGAGGACTGGGGGATCTACGTCCAGGCCATCAACTATCCCACGGTTCCTGTGGGCCAGGAGCGTCTTCGTATCACGCCTACGCCTGGCCATGTGCGCGAGTACCGCGACCACTTGGTCGAGGCTGTTGACGCCGTCTGGACACAGCTTGGCATCAAGCGCACCAGTGAATGGGCAGCCGAGGGCGGCTTCATTGGAGTCGGCGAAGCTGGCAAAGCCGAGGAAACTCCTCTCTGGACCGAGGAGCAGCTTGGCCTGACCGACGTCATCAAGGAGATGAAGGCTGGGCACGGCGTGACTGGTGTGCTAGAGGCCGTGCTTGAGAACGAGCGCAAGGCTACGGCACATGCTGTCGCTACGGCGGCATAGACGCGTGCATGTTTTTGGATTCGCAGGTGACGGTCTGGTCGCTCTTTAACTATTATTTGAGACCTGGATAGATGGGGGAAGCTTGGAAAGTACAGCACAATATATCGTTGTTCGTCAGCCCATAGCCTTGACCATGTCGTGCATGTGCGTATGTGATGATGCGAGTGGTAGTGTTGGCCAATTGTCGCAATGCAAACAATAAGAGTGAAATAGGCAGTGGTGAACGCACGGCCGGTCGCTAGCGCCAGGGTGTGAGCCAGTGACGCTAGCGTAACTCGCGATGTCCTGAGCCTCACCAAGTCCGACACGCTATCATCATCCACCCGCGCCCGCCGCAACGCGACCCTCTCCCTTCTTCTGGCCCTGCCACCCAGCTTTGAATCGCGCTTTTGCCCAGTCTCTACTCGACTGATTGGATGCAAGGCGCGCGCGGGCGCTAATCACTCACTCTCGAGCTAATCCATCAGCAGCCACCGCATGCTCCCCTCATATTTTATCAACCCTCAGTTCGCGCCGGTCTCTCTATCCTGAGAGGGTACCATCATGGCTCCCCCACCTAAGCGAAAGCGACCTGATCGCCCTTATTCACAGGATGACGACCGCACGGGACGACCGTCGCCGCATCGCCCGCAGAACCTTGGACTTGCGCATAACCAGCAACAGACCAACAGCCCGCGCGGTGGAGGCGGCGGCGGTGGTGGCGGAGGAGGCCTAGGCGTAAGCGGAGGAGGCAGACGGCCGAGCAGAAACAATGGACGCGGTGGTTCCAGTGTGCCGCAAAGCCCCAATGTCTCACATGCGTCGCCGCCTGCCATGTCACCTTCGACGAACACCTTCACACCAACAAGGCCGCCTCAAGCGACACCATCCGCCCCTGCACCGCCACCGCCGCCGCCTGCGCAACCTTCGATGCCTTCCACGCCGCGCCAAGTCTCAGAGAGTAACGAGTACCTAACGCCAGACCGGGTCGCTCGTTGGAATGGCGAGGCACGCGACGCCGTGGTGCAAGCGGCTCTGTCTGCTCAGCGCAATGGCGACGTGCTCACGCTTTCTGTCATATTCCACGAGATCATCGAGGCATCCATGGACAACGTCGTGGACGTTGGCGAGTTGGGGTCGGTTGTACGGGACATTGTGTCTGCTCCAACCGACGACGAGGTCGACTCCGTATCCACTTTCCTCGACACTCTGAGTTCCCTTACGCACGATGAGAGCAAGCAGGCGCACGTGCGGCAGATGCTTATTGCGACCGAAATCGACGTGTCACGTATGCGCTCCGAGCTCGAAAACGATCTCCTAAAGTCATTGGGCCTGGTTCGCGATAGTTTTGGCAAAATGGCTGTTCGCAAAGCAACGCATGCATTGTATCGGCAATCCAACTACAATCTCCTCCGCGAAGAGACCGAAGGTTATTCGAAGCTTATGACCGAATACTTCACCACCGTCAACAGCGAACCGCCGAACCAGGAAGTTGTGAGCGAGACATACCAACGCGTCAATGCCTTGATTGGCGCGTTCGACTTGGATATTGGAAGAGTCCTGGATGTAACTTTGGATGTGTTTGCCAATCTCCTAGTCAAACACGGAAGATTCTTTGTCAAATTACTACGGACGAGCGCATGGTGGCCCGAGTTGCGTGGCTTTGACAGCATTGAATGGGAGGAAGCTGAAGTCCCTACGCTTCCACGGTGGGCACAGCCAGGCTCTAAGCTGTGGTATTACTCCGACGAAGAGAAGGAAGAACAGCTTCGACTACGCGAATCCCGAGACCGAAAGTTCTGGCAACGTGTGGGCGAGCTGGGTGACCGAGCCGGTGTCCAAGCATTCTTCGAGCTTGGTGGACGTCGAATCATTGCGAATAATCGGCAGCCGGACCAGACACTGCCCCCTGAAGGTGCGCCGCTCTCGAAGCAACAAGCAGCTCGCAAATGGGCGGACGAATGGATGGAACAGACCAAGACTCTTCCACCTTCAGGAAACGACATTGCAGCACAACTTCTCGGCTTCAAGCTCCGCTTTTACGCCTCCGATGTCCGCGATGCCTCCGACGTACTGCCCGAGAACCTCATGTACTTGATCGCACTCTTGGTCAAGATTGGGTTCATTTCCATTCTTGATCTATATCCACATCTGTATCCATTGGAGGAGGACATGGCTGCGCACAAAGACAGGCTTCTCAAGGCTAAAAAGGAAAAGGAGGATAAAGAACGTGGCGCAGTTGCTAATGCGCTAACTATGGCTGGCGCACTGCCCGACGATACACCTGGACAACCAGTCGTTTCCCGTCTCCGAGATGCCGAAAGCAAGTCAAAGCCGGATACTGGAAGAAATACACCCATCGCCAACCCCGAAGAACCTGCAGAGAAGAAGGATCTACCCGAGCCAACGGACCAGAAGTTCACGCTTCTAAAGAGCTTGCTTTGCATTGGGGCATTACCGGAAGCCTTGTTCATTCTTGGACGTCATCCCTGGTTTCTTGAAGTGTACCCTGAGCTACAGGGTCTGATTTTCCGTTTGGCGCACCATTCTTTGAACAAAATGTATGAAGCATCAAAGCCTACGCCATTCGAAGAGTCTATCATTTCTACGAAAGGTGCTGGTGTCCGTGGCCCTCAGAGGCCCAGCGACTTTGTCCCTCGACGAACTCTCCGATGGGCCAAGCCTGACCAGAAGGATTCCGATGGGGGTGTTGATTACAAGTTTTATTGGGAGGACTGGGTTGACAACGTTCCTGTATGCCAAGAAGTGGACGACGTGATCAAGCTTTGCACCAGCCTTCTCGGCTTGGTTGGAGCCGAGTGTGGCAGGGACACCGTGCTACTAACGAAGATTATACGTATTGGCAAGCGGGATTTAGCAGACGACCCCTCGGAAACGAATCGAAAACGATGGATCAACTTCTCAGCAACCTTCATCGCACCCGCAGTATCCTTCACAGGCAGGAATCCAGGAATAATCAATGAGGTGTGGGACTTGTTCAAACACTTTGATACCGCCACTCGATATATTATCTATCAGCAATGGTTCAACGGAATGCTTAAACCGGCAAGCAAGAAGGCTTTTGAACAGGTTCGAGACGAGACCAAGAAAACTATGAGCCGTATCTCCGCCACCAACACGAAGGAGTACGGCCGCAAGATTGCCAAGATCTCGTATGCTAGCCCTGGATGGGTCTTCAAGACGACGGTCAAGCAGCTGGTCAACTACCCCAACATGATTACCGCTCTCGTAGAGTGTAGTCGATATCTCACCTTACTTGGATACGATGTCTTAACTTGGACTCTGGCTACGTACCTGCTTAGCCCCGATAAAGGCTCGCATCAGGATGATGGTATGCTGTCTGCACCATGGCTCAAGAACATTGCCACCTTTGTTGGCAAAGCCTACGCAAAGTACCATTTGATGGATCCGGTTCCAGTACTGCAACTCACAGCACGTCAGCTCTTGACTGCAGAGGGCGAGCTCTACATGTTGGACGTACTGGAGCAAATGGTCAAGTCTATGGGCGGTATCAGTCTGAGCGGATCGGTCTCCGAATCGATGACACTGGCGCTGTGTGCCGGACCAGTGCTTCGTACCTTTACTCTCCAACATCGCTTGGCAGATTACCGCCATCTGGCTGGCCATTCTGCAAGACGTCTAGTCAGATGTCTGAAAGAGACGGGTCTAGGACCGCAGATTCTGATTGCACTTGCGCAGCACGTCGAGGCTTACGTGCACCGCGATGACCAGCAAAATGTACCCGATAAACCGGTTCTCTTCAACGTCGACAAGCTCCGCTCCAACCTCCTCCAGTATCTTGAGCTCCTCAGAGCATATCTTTCCGTGGACGACTTCGATGCCATCTTCCCTCCTCTGATTGAAATGATTTCTGACTTCAACGTCGAGCCAGACGTCGCCTTTACCATTGCTCGTGCAAGTGTAGCGGCTAAGGCTAATGCATTCCGAGCGGACCAGCGTGCAAAGCTCATTGCCAACACTCAATCAAATGGAGACACTTCTATGAGCGGCGTAGAGGAATCGCCGGTCGTGGGCGGAGCCAAAGTAGATGCGGCGGTCACCGAGGCATCAAAGGTAAATGAAGATGTCGAAATGGCGGAATCTGATCCATCTGCAGATGCTTCGCTCCCGGAAGTACCAAACACAGAAATTGAGCAGCTAGCGAACCAGCTCAAGGAGAAACTGCCCGCCACGTTTGGCAGCCATCCATGCTTGTCGTACTATGTCACTTTCTGGCAACTCTCTTTGCCAGATGTCGATGTCGGTGGCATCGATCAACAGTACAAGGAGACAATTGAATACTTTGAGCGGCAGTTGCCAGCTCCAGTTCCAGAACGCCGTGGCTATAGATCCAACGTCCCCAAGGCTGAGACTGACGAGGCGCGACGGGCAAAGCATGAAATACCAAGGCTCAAGGAAGAACGGCAAACTGTAACAAAAGCCAACGCTGCGATGCAAGATAGCCTTCGGGCCGAGCTTAAGGGATGGTTTGCCAGCATTGCCATGATGGGCCCACAGTGCGATGAGCTGCACAACGCCCTGCTCCAGGACTGTTTCATTCCTCGCAGTCGCATGTCATTAGAAGACGCGCAGTATTGCTCTTCTATGCTCATGTTCATGCATAGTTCGGGCGTGCCTGGATTCCGCATGAGCCGACTACTAGATGTTCTCTTCAATGCCAACAGGCTCACGACTATCATTAGTATGTATACTGAAGCCGAGTCGTTGTCCTTTGGTCGATTCATTGGCGATTTACTGCGCGAACTGCAAATCTGGCACGACAACAAGGACGATGCATACGCCAAAAACGCACTTGGGCCAGAAAAGAACCTCCCAGGCTTCGGGAGGAGCTATGACGCGGAAAGAAACGCCACGTCCTTTTTTACCTACGACCAGTTTTGCATGGTGTTGTTTAAGTGGCACAAATCACTTACTACTGCGTTGAAGACATGTCTTGAAACCGGCCGGTACATGCAAATGCGCAGTGCTATCAACGTTTTGCATGCACTAGGCACCAACTACCCCAAGATTCAAAGTTTGGGCACAGAGTTGAAGCAGACAATCGAGCATTTGAGCAAGGATGAGGAGAGGGGAGATCTCAAGAAATCGTTGGAATCCGTTTTGGGTCCCATCACCAAAGGCGAGAGGTTCTGGCAGGAGGACCATGTATTCCGCAACGTAAGTCCAGCTATGTTGCAGATTATGTAATGGTGAATTGACACAGCATAGGTACCGGCGCCGACACCTGCACCCGGAAGTACGCCCAATGTGGGTGACAAGACTGCTTCGGAGAATGGAAAGGCTCCGCAGTCAAAGGATGCAAAGCTCAACGCAAATGCGCCTACTTTCAAGCCAAATCTCGAAACGTAAGTGAACGATTGCCACCGCTCCCTTCGACAGTAAGACTGATTGCCATCCTGCAGCAACGGATCCCAGCAAACTCCTTTGCGAGAAACAGATGATAACACGGCAAAGCGCAATGTTTCGACTCCCGGAACGCCTGCGTCAAGAGAAAGAGAGCCGGCGAGTCTCACGCCGAGACACTCAGAGGCTAGGCCATCCACTCCCTCTCAACAGGAGCTAGTGATGGGCAGGCCTGCGCCCAAACCGGGCCCACCCATGCACCCATCTTCTGTGCCGCAGAGACCAGACGGCAGAAACGCACCGACACAGCCCGCTGCAGCTGGGAGACCATCACATGCTTTGCCATCCCGGCCGGACTCACAGCCATCAAGAACGCGACAATCGGAACGGCCTGTCATGGAACGGCCGCCTGAAGCCGTACATGGTCGCTATGATAGCAGAGGCCCTCCACCAAACGACTATGGTCGATTAGACCGCCCTGGAGACATTCCACGCCACCGTGAGACATCTCCTGGTCGACGGGGGCGAATGCCCGATGGCAGAACTCCTGAAAGAATACTCCCTGTGGCTGAGCACAGAGAGTGGTCTGGTAGAGAGCGCGACTATGACGATCGGACCTTGCGAGCACCACCGCGAGATACGCGAGCGCCACCAGTACGACCGCCGCCCACCTGGGATACACGCGACGCCAGGGACCCGAGAGATCAACGTGAGCGTCCTGATCCTCGCATGCACCCGGGAACTCCCACGATGGAATCTCGACGGATGCCTTCGTCTTCGTCGTTAGCCAACGAATATCGCCGAGACGCTCCACCGATTAGTGGCCCGTATGGTGCAGAGCAGAATGACAGGTCTCAACGGCCACCCCAGCCGCCAATTCCAACCAAGGAAGAGCCTACAGTTAACCCTGCACGCGCTGCCCTAATCAATCAAGTCGAGCATGGCAGACATGAACCGCCAAGATCGGACCGCGATGGTCGTCGCGACAGAGATGCGCGTCTGAACTCTCCTCGCCATGGTGACGATAGGCGTGGAGAGGATCGTCGCATGGAAGAACGCTTGCCTAATTACCATGGACGAAACGATGTGCCACGTGAACATCGAGATGACCGTTCTCTAGGCCTGCCCCCGGGCAATCGAGACCGACGAGACGAACTCTCATCAGGTGCACCCACAGGGCCGCGCGGTGGACGTAATGATCCTAGTGCATCATCTCGCGCATCCCGGGACATGTTCCAACCTACTTCTGGCCCGCGGTCCTCTGGGCACCAGATCCAAGATCCCAACTATGGGAGATTGAACCAACCCTCCGATCCAGGACCACCATCAGGTCCTCGCAGTGATCGACCATCTTCTCAGCCGCAACCTTCTACACCTACTGCTACACCTACTGGACCGGCAGCGTCACTGCCCGCAGGGGTACACCCCAGCAGGCTTGTAAACATTGAAGGCAGACCATCAAACGGCCCACCCCTCCAAACCAACATGCCAAACGCTCCAAGTGGTCCGCGGGGCTCTAACAGAGCACCCCAAGGTACAGTACCGTCGTCTCCAAATGGCTGGGGTCCTCCGACGGGTCCTGCAGCAGGAGATCGTGGGGCAAGGAACGCAGGTAACCCGTTAAGAGCTATCAACAATGTCTTGACGGGGAACACGCCTGCTGAACGATCAGGCGATCGGAACATCCCGCCTGCTAACCCACCTGTGCGTGGTCGCGGCGCCAATCGTGCCAATGGGCCCATGGAGACATCCGGTGACACGATGAGCCCTATGCCACCGCCGCATCATGGCTCGACACCCAGCCGTGTTGAAGGCCAACATCCTAGAGGTGGTCGAAGTGATGAAAGCCAAAGCAGGGGTGAAGGTATCCCACCGGAAGAAGTCCGCTCAGAATCCCGCAGTCACAAGGACAGCAGGCGTAGCGATCGGTCGGGAGGAGAGCGGTCAGCAGATCGACCCGACCGTCGCACTGAGGAGCGAAGCAGCCGTAATGGACCTTCTGAGCGCGTAGAAGGCGAGCGCGGTTCGGAGCGTGAGCGTGGAGGACGAGAAAAGCGCAGTGGAGACCGAGAAAGTAGCCGGCGAGAGCGCAGCGAACGAGAAGGCGGCGAGTCGAGGTCTGGACGAGAAGCCCGGGAGAGTAGTAGGCGCGAGCGCGGCTCCCGCGATGACGGCCGAGCTTCAGCAAGGGACGACCGCGATAGGAGGAGCCGAGGAGGAACGGGAAGTACTAGCGGAACGGGAGGAGGAGACGACGGCCGTAAGAGAGTCCGTGATCCTCAGGACCAAGCTCACGGCGATGCAAAGAGGAGACGGTAGACTCATTACCATCACCATTATCTTCATCGTCATTGTCATCGTCGTCGTCATTCATTATCATCACTTTGGGCGTCATCATCATCATCATCGAAAAAAACGGGGATTTGTTTGTGTTCTGTTTTTTTTTGGGTTTTCACAGCAAGGCGCACAAAAGAGGGGTCATAATGGAGAACTTGTTCCTCTTCAGCAGCAGCAGCAGCAGCAGCAAGCATCAGCAAGCAAACAGCATGCAGTTAATGGGTCGCCGTATTCGAAGAAATCTCTTCTCTCTCTCTCTCTCTCTCTCTCTCTCTTTTGGTTTCTCTCTCTTCTATGTCTTGCTTCGCTTTGCTTTGCTCCCTTCCTTGCCTTTGTCCCTCTTGATTTTCATCTACATCTTGTTAGGGACGCTAATGTATTATCTTGATCCATACATGTTAGTTTCTGGTTTAAAAGAAGAGTAGGAGGGAGGAAGAAGAGAGTGCAAAAATAAAAGAATAAGGCGTGAGGCAGAAATGGTTGGTACTTAATGTACTGGTTCAAGTTCAGATTTTGCATTTACATGGCGTTTTTGTTTTTGGGAATTATACTGGTAGTTTGTAGTTCTTTGAGCTATCGGGGGGGGTTGCGGGAGAAGGAAGTTGCAAAGAGAGAAAGAGAGATGTGTGTGTACGTATGTGTACGTATGTGTAGTACTATACCCTGAGGAATGAAATAAGGAATCTAGGCAGTTGATTGAGATCTTATTGTTATCTTTTCTTCTTCCTTGCTCTTGTTTTCCCTTCTCAAGAGCAGGAGAAAGAGAGAGAATAAAGTCCTAAAGAGGGGTGAACTGTATACAAGATCTTAGTGAGCGGTATTGCTGGTAGTTACTTTGTCGCTTGTGGTCATAATGAAAGAAAAGGGCATGAGGTGAATGGAATGTATGGAGCATTGAGTAATGTACGCTATTGGATGAGGTATTGAAGGGGTCTTATCTAAGTAAGGAGAAGTTTTGGGTGGGTGAAGGAGATTTTTGAGGGACTGGACCACATGGAGTAGTCTTGTATCTGCTTGAGTAGGGGTTGATTTAGGCACGCGGACAACGAAGCCCACGGCTTATAGTGGTAGTGAACTGCCTAGCTTGCCTCTTTACAGAAAGGCGTGAAATAGTAATCTACAGTTGTTCAAGCCCATCATCCTATAGCTCATGCAGCCCCTGCATCATGTGTGATGTCTTGACACCTTTTCAGCCATCTACATACTATTCTGCTGCGATTGGAGGAATAGAAAATTTCCGTAGGTGACTATGGCGGCTTACATACACGTAGCAGCGCTCAACTAAAAACACAGTGGCTGAAAGCAGCCCGTGGCTAGTGTCGGGGCCCCACAATCTAGGCCTTGATAACTGTAACAGCTCGGCATATTGACGGCCTCTACCCAGGTGTGGGCTGAGCATTTCTGGTTCCAAGATGCGGTCATCATACAAAGTGTTCGATCGTGTATGTTCGATCTGGGGGACTCCGAGGTATTGCCATACGCTGACTGTAGTTTTGTAAATAGCCACAGCAGCAGCCACATACAGGTCTTTACAAGCCACCAAACATGTAAGACTACCGTGACTCGTAGTCGGTATCGTGATTGTTCTTCGGACATGCCGAGTACGATCAGCGGTCAACGGAGCCGGAGTCGTAGAAGCCGAGAAGCTAACCCACGGCGGTACTCTGAACATTGTAAGCCGTATCGCATTCTGCACTCGCATAAGCGCTAAGGCAATAGAGTTCTAACTAACCACGAGCCACAAACTTAGCTCTCAGCAACGCTGCGTAGAGTCCGCATCTAGAACAAAGCTATGCTCAAGCGAGCCAAGCGCTTCCTATTAGCCTCAAACCTTCTTGCTACCTCTCTCCTATCAGCAACCCAAAATGCCATGCGGTTTACGGTGCATGAACTTTTTCGCCAAACAAGAAAGTGGCATAGGGCTGACTGGTGGGAACGGTACAGCGGTGTGAAATGTGGAGATCGGCCCTGTTACCACTCGTTTTCGTGTGTTTGTAGACAGACTGGTGGTGAGAGCGCGACCGTGCCAGCAGCTCGAGCCACTGCCAGTTATCATCGCCCCAAGAGCAATTTATGGAGCTGTGATCTTCTGATGCAGCCATAATTAGATACTTCGTTTAGAGCCTCTGGGTTATTTCAGGAACATCTGGATTTTACCAGATACCTTCTACAGTCAGCCTGGTTGTGTGCATAGTACTTGGCGCGGAGTCAACATTGTCTACTGCAGCATCTTAGTCTCGCAGTCCAGGCACCGAGTACCGGTAAGCTCGTACTCAGTAAAGGTCCTTTTGCCTATGCGATATTTCACTACTTGATAACACGTAACACTACCTCGACGTTTGTTTTTTGTTTTGTTTTGTTACAGATTTCAACGTGCCCACGTAGTGAATTCGATGATCTGGTATAATGCATGATAGAAGATAACAATATGATACTACGTCCTGTAATTTACATATGCTAAGTAGGCAGTGATTTACACTACGGTATGCTTGTGCGGAGAGTTTTGCGAGACATTTCTTCTACTGTTGTAACAGACTTGTAAACAACCTTGTGAGGACAACGCAGGGGCTCAATATGGCTCACAAGATACGAGCTCGGCTATACTAGTGGACGGGTGCTTACTGACAGCTAACTGTATACGGTGCAGCTAGACTTTATCAAACGAACTACTGTAGGTGGTCAGTGCGTGCAACTGTTCAGCGGATGCAACTGTAAGGGGCTCGACCCCGGAGGGTAGTCTTAAGCTCGGGAGCACGATCGGACAGGC